GTGGGATGTGGGTGTGGGTGTGGGTGTAGGTGTGGGTGTGGGTGTAGGTGTGAGTGTGGGGTGGGTGTGGGTGAAGAGAACATTAAAACCACACCCACACCCCACACACCCACGCCCACCCACATCCACACCCACACCCACACCCACACCCTTATGCGCTCAAAAAACTCGATATTAGCCCAATATATGATTACTTTCAAGTTGAAAACATAAGCTAATCAAAAATGATACTTGTGGCACGCCCTGGTAATAGCTCAAGTATCCGAATAGTATGACTCCATTTAGATGGTAGCATATGTTTTTGTTTTTATTGGAGTTACAAAAATACTCTACCTAAACTTAATTGAAAAGTCGTAACATATGTTTCAAGAAGAGCTACTTGATTTTCATTACTTTTTTTGAATATAAGGAGAAAGAATTGCCAGCGATGCTTTGAAATTTTATTAACATATAATAACTCTTTTTCTGATGACTCGTACAAATCTAAATCTGAGTAGAACAATTGCATTCAAGTTTTTTTTTCAGATATATTGTGCTAGTTTTCAGTGATTTATCAATGCCACTTTCCGATTCAATAGAATAGGTAGGTATGCATAGGGTGTGAGTGTAGGTGTCACATCCATACCCACACCCACGCTCAATATGATGACCATTGCTATGGTACCTGGTACAGGACAAAACAACAATCTCCAACATAACACGACATTATCATGAAAGATGTATGCAATGCGGAGAAAAACCATATATATACAATGAAGTATCCACTTAAGCTACGTGAAAACTAATTCCACAATGTGCAGTACATACCACACCATAATCAAGTACATCTACAAGTTTAAAGGGCAATTACTTCGTCTAAAGTCAAATCTTAAATAATTTACTGATTCTCTTCGTTTTAGATAATGATCCAACGGACCTATCCTAAACAAACCAGCTTGTCGCAAAAAAATAAAAACTCAATAATAATCCATCTTCTGTATACAATTGATAACATCACTTATTCAGCAACATCGAAATACCTAGAGTATCGTGGTAGCTATGCACACCCACACCCAACTATGCTTTCACTCGTGATTGATACTCAACCGTTTTCTCACAGGTACTTTTTTTAAAACAATATCCTGGTCGATGTTTGCGTTGAATGTTGAATCTAAACTTGACCAGTTGACAGAAGATCCATCAGCTCGCCTCAGTCTTAAGCAAACCCAATGAAGGATTGTGAGTGACAGCGAGTCGATTGGGAATACTTTGTTTTTTTTTAAATTTAAACTGTAATCTGCAGTAGGATATAATTTCAAGTCATAAAACATTTTGTCCTCGTTATTTTCTTTTCGAAAAATTAATCACTCGTTGCTATCTGATGTTAATCGAATAAGAATATTTGGTATGGGATCACCATGACACTCCTTGAATGGACACGATCCATCGCCTTTCTTTTTCCAGATCCACGTTGTCGGATCGATAACACTCAATTCCTTGCCGCCCAATTTTTTTGTATAGATATGACGTGTTGCTGGACTTGATACTTGTACCAGTACATATTGAAATCCTTGAATGCGTGCTTGATTACATACCATTGCACGTAATCTACTACCTACATCTTTGCCTGTATGCTGGGCTCGAGTAGCGCCCAACAAGATGTATGCGACCAGGTGCGGTTTTAATTCTTGATCAAAATCATTATGAATGAATTGATTAGTCAGTTCATTGACCAAATCACGACTAGGATACGTTGCTGGAGGAGAATCGGGTGAATAATTCTTATGTTTCTCATAGAGATCATCAGCTATAACAGCACCAACAATTTCACCTGATGGACGATGTTGTGCAAGAAACGACAATCGTTGGCCGAGTAGATCTTTTATTCTTGGCAATAAAGCATCGAATAATGATTGTGCTGGAATCTTGTAAAAACTCGTCAACCGTTCATGTTGAGAAAATTCTTCGGCTAACAATTGGGTACATATACGAGCATCGTCCATATTATCAATGATTTCATAAGCATACTCTTCAATGTAGGCCATGATGTCCTTGTATACGTGAGTGTAGATAAGTACAAAATATCACAATGATAAGAAAAGATAAAAACGTCAGAGATTTTTATATGTGATGGCGACGCTTTTTCTTTTTTGTTCTTGTATTTTCGCATTTTGTTTTCTATCAGCGAAAAATACTAGAAGGAGAAACGTGTAATTTTGAGATAGTTGTGTGAAAATAATTTTAAAGGCTTAAAACATGCATCTGCTGCGTCTCAAACGCTTGAAGAGAAACGCGTTTGGTTGCAGCTAAATGTATTTATAAGATGTGATTGGATGCATTTGTGAGGTATCATACAACAGCACGATCAAAATCGAGGCAAACGGAACGAAGACACGTTTCAATGGGTGTGGGTGTGGATGAGGATGCATTTGAATCAGATACTCACACTCACCGCCATACTCGTACTTCACCCATACCACAGCCGCACCCACCTCGGTACGCATACCCACACCAACACTCACATTCACATCTACATCCACCCACACTCGGATCCCTGGATCGGGCTGCCCATTTCGAACCCTGATGGTTGCTCGTACGCATCCTTTGTAATAAATTAAGTCTCAAGTCGAAGCACACACTGCGAACGCAAAAATATCCAAACGACGGTTTCATTTCTTTTTCTGATTTAGATGTGAAATTATTAATCAATTAATCTACAAATTCAATTGTCGAAATACGATATGTTCACGTTTTAGAATAATATATATTTACAGAGAAAATCTCAGTTGAAACCTTTTACCGATAGGAAAGCAAAAGAATATATTTGGTTGCATATTTCTAATTAATCCTTTCAAGGAAGATGTTACATATATGTATCACTTTTTTTCTTTCTGTTCTTTCCCACGCACCCCTCAGCCTCATCTATCCAAAATTCGCCCATGAAAGGGTTAAATCAGTCGAGCTTGTTCTGTTGCATTCATTCATATTCTCTTAACAACGTAAAATAAGATTGTTCTTTCATCATCTTGATGCTATTGTCAAGGTTAAAGTAAAGTTGTAGAGAGAGAGATGAAAAAGTTGCAGACTTTCTTTCTCGCTCTCCTACCATAATTGTTACTATTAAAAAAAAGACATCTTATAAAATCCAAAAAAGCTAATGTCATTTTCAATCTACAAGACTAGAAAAATTTAGTGACTATAAGTTATTTAACATTTATAGCAAGATACAAAAAAGTTTAGATCAAAGTTATTTGCCACAGAAAGGATAGATTTAGATGTTAAATAAAATATTATTTCATAATTCAAAATATATGAACGAATGATTAATTCAATTTCCATAACATTCAGAAAGTTGAATGCTGAAAAACTATCCAATATTGAAAAGCTGAGTATTTTTCATAATTATGTTAAATAATCCAACTTTTACATCTGATGAATAGAACATACATATGATAAAAACACAATTAGAACAAATTATATTACAGAATACAACTTTTTAAATTTTTATTTGTTCTGAAAGACATTTGAACACACTCTGTCTAGTACCATTTAATGTATATGGATAAAGAAATTATTTTGAAAGAGATTTATTAATGATAATGTTTTTTAATTGCGTTCTTTGTCTGTAAATCGAGAACTATCGCGCATTAGAGCATTTTCGCAACAACAGCAACGCATGAACAGAAAGATGGAGAAATACTTCAACTAGTCATACAATAAAACAGCAGGAATGATTTATCGTGTTACTACTCTCGGTTGTTTTTAACTAACGAAATTCTCTCTTGAATAATTTTGTTTCAATGACGACATAGGCAACAGAATAGAGCGGAGCAATTGAGTGAGAAGAGAAAAATATTCAAACGTTCCATGTAGAAAGATGCCGTTTTATTCACTAAACAATGTACAGTATGGTAACGAATAAAAAACCTACAATGATGTTTACATCAAAAGAACTTTCGAGCACAAGGCCACATAAATCATCTACTGCTCGAATGATCCAAAATTGCCATCTAGTCTGGCTAGATGAAAGTATTGATGAAATTAACAACGAGGATTGTCGCAATTCTATTACAAAATTGCGACAAGTCATCAACAATGTGAATAGATTCACCGATGTTGACGAATGTATCGATTTTATTACCGACATGAAAGAAGAGAAAACATTTATGATACTTTCTGGACCATTGTGCCAAACTATCGTTCCTATTGTCCAACGTATTCCTCAAGTAAACTGTGTCCATATTTACTGTGAAGATAAGGAGCAATACGAAAAATCTAGAGAAGAGTGTGTCCACAGGCATTACACAGATCTGTGAAACACTAAAACACACCGCTCAAGATTATGACCACAACTTGGTGTCCATCAGTTTCATCAAGACGACTGATGGAACTTTGGATCAAAGCCTCGATACCTTGGACCAATCCTTCATGTACACACAAATATTAAAGGAAATTCTGCTTACGGTAGACTTCAAACAAGAACACATTAATGAATTTCTCACGTTTTGTCGCGAACAATTTGCCGACAATACTACTGGACTTGATAATGTCGAAAAACTATGTCAAGAATATCACGACCACGAACCAATTTTGTGGTACACATATAGCTGCTTTCTCTATTCTATGCTCAATAAAGCATTACGTCTGATGGAAGTCGATCTCATTATTAAATTGGGATTTTTCGTTCGCGACTTACACAATCATATCGCTGCACTTCATTCGGAACAATACACTAGACATCAAGGTTCCGACTTGTTTATCGTATATCGTGGTCAAGGTTTGTTTCATATAGACTTTGAACAATAGAAGAAAACACAAGGTGGTTTACTATCGTTTAATCATTTCTTGTCGACAAGTCCCAATCGAGCACTGGCCTTTACTTTCTCTGAAAGTAATCAAAATAATCCTGATCTAATAGGTGTTCTCTTTGTGATAGCTATCAGTCCATTGATATCTTCATCTCCATTCGTGAATGTTCAGAATGTCAGTTACTATCAAACAGAGGAAGAGATTCTCTTCTCTATGCATTCTATTTTTCGCATTGGACAGATCTAACAAATCGATAAAAATGATCGTCTCTAGCAGGTAGATTTAACATTCACATGTGACAACGATCCACAATTACATGCTTTAACTATACGCATGCAAGAAGGGACAGCCTCGGGTTACAGTGGATGGTATCGACTTGTTCTATTAATGATAAAATTAGGAGAATTTGACAAGACAAAGAAATTATATGAAATATTGCTTAAACAAACAACTGATGCAGGTGAAAAAGGACATATATATTACCAACTTGGATCAATTAGGATTTACCATGGAGAATATGAAGAAGCGATAGTATTTTATGAAAATACACTTGAGATCTATCAAGACCTTCTTCCATCAGATCAGGATGAGTTGGCTGGCTCTTATAATAGCATCGGTTTGACGTATGACAACATGGGTGAGTCCACGAAAGCACTTTCATTCTATGGGTGTGGGTGTGTGGGTGTGGGATGTGGGCGTGGGATTTGGGTGTGGGTGTGTGTATTGCCTTCAACTTTACGCATACCAACACCCACGCTTCACCCACACCTCCACACCCACATCCGGCAAAGATGCTGTTTCGATCGAAATTAGATATAACTGTATGTTCCCTAGACTGAAAGTATAGGGTCTAGAAACGGAAATTCACCTGTGTCTGTCTGTCTGTCTGTCTGTCTGTAACACGTACGGTTACCATATGGTAACTATGTGATCGTTAAAATAAAAATAAATATATATTTCGAATGGCGCGCAAAGCCAATAAAATAAGATTTTCTTTCTATATGATATTGAAAAAATCAAAACGACGAACGAATCTGCAAATTGTTTACTATTCAGTTGTTTTATAATAAATTATTACAGTTTTTAAAGTAAATCTGAACATATAAATAATTACGACAAATAATAAATGTTCATTATTTAGTTATTTTTATTTTATTGAATATAATTAACATAGAAAAAATGAAATATTCCCTAGACTGAAAGGCTAGGGTCTAGAAACCGAAATTCACCTGTGTCTGTCTGTCTGTCTGTCTGTCCGTCTGTCTGTCGGTAACGCGGTCAAAATGGCCATTTTTTTGGCACACGTGACCATTTTTTTGGCACACGTGACCATTTCTTTGGCACAAAGGACCATTTTTATGGCACAAACGATCATTTTTTTGGCACAAGTGACCATTTTTTGGCACAAACAACCATTTTTTTGACGCAAACGACCATTTTTTTGGCACAAGTGACCATTTTTTGGGCACAAACGGCCATTTTTTTACTAAAATTAACTAGGTAACTATGGTACAAATGAGCATGTAACTATGGCATAAACGGTCATTTTTTTGGTAGAAACGACCACATAGCTATGGCACAAGTGACCATATAGCAACCATAGCACAAACAACTATTCCGGTAACTATGGTACAAATGACCATCTAAAGACTGATGTAAATGAACCCATAATAATCATGGGTAAAATGTCAATGGGATAACTATAATTCGGGTAGTGATGTAAAACGGCTTACTTACAAAAGCATTTAATTAGTGAGAGTCAGATCAAATGAGCAGTATGGATTTAAAGAAATCGTTTAAATTATTCATTATTGTAAGATTGATTGTGCAATGTTGTATCAATGAATATCTAATTTATTAATAGTTTAGAATTAATGCGTGAACTTAAGCATAAAATATTGATTAATAAAACTCAAATTTTATGAATAATATAATTCATATTTTTGTACGTACAAATAGCGCCAATATAATTATAAAAAAATCGTATTGTTGTCTAATCTTATTGGGCGCTATTTATATTCGTAAAAGCAAAAAAAAAATTAAATTTGTAAATGCATCATCTTTACTTAGAGTGAGAATTCTCCAAATTAAGTTTTCTGGTCGCCTAAGATATACTGGTCATATTATCAATGTTGCGTATTACTTTTTTAATGTAGCTTTTTATGCTATTCCATCCGTACATGTATTGTATCAGTCTAGGGCTAAGTGAATCGCTTGACGATGAACGTTACTTGTTTCTAGCTGTCACAACGATGACTAAAAGCAAGAAGCGAAAGGTGAAATACACAGACAGCGACGATTCTACTACCAAGCTACTAGCAAAACGACAACGAACGATTTCACAACGGCTTCCCACTTGAAGTCAGTTGAAGCAAATTTTATTCCTTACCTTTGTTTTCCTATGTGCTCTCTTGTACATACATCTTTCCCATGTTCCGCGCATGATAGAAGACGGTGCGATCACTTCAGACTATCTTTTAACTATACATGTCCTCGCTATATTATTTCTTTCTCAGTTTTGCTGTTTATTTGCGTATCTAATCGTTTCTTTTCTGTTTTTGTCCTCTCAGGCTACTTCTATAGGTCATTTGTACATTGCATAGATCTTTTGAGCTAATCTATTTATGGTTTCACATATGCAGCACTGATGAAAGCAAACTTTTCCAGCCGAAACCGCGAAAAAATCCATCAGAGGATGGTTCTCGTTTATTTCACAACAAGTTTAGGTTTTTACTTAAATAGTATTAATAATCTTGTTGAATCGATTCAATTGCAGTAGCCAATTTATATATACTCAAAGCAGTTTCAATATGTTTGGGTTCTAAAAAATAAATGCTTGCCATATAACGATAAGTTGCAGCAAGTAAAGAATAACGAAGTGGTATAAATCGAAAATAGTATTCATGTTCAAAAAGATAATTCTGTAAAATTAGAATTGAAGTGTCTGTTATTGCATCATAATTTCTTGCAAGATTAGAGAGAGTTAATGGAAATACATTTAAATAAATACCAACTACTTTTTTAAATTGATCCAATGCTTGTTCATACTTTTCCATTTTAAAATAAATTTCACCGATTTTATAACGTAACGTTGCAATATCATAATCAAATTGCTGTGTTGCTGAAGATTTATTGTTTAATAAATGTATTAATACTTTTTGAAAATTTTCAAGTGATATCGTATAATTCATTGTATTTTTAAACGACGGATCATCGGACAATATCATATAAGGCGAATCTCCATGTTTTATCAATATTGTTCTACTGGAATATTCATGATACTTTTGTTGATCCCCGATTTTAGAGTAAGCATGACTAATACTGGTGTACAAATCCATATTACTCATGTATGACAAATGTGTTTCCTGAATTCGAATTGCTTCTTTATAATAGTCGATCGCTACTGCATACTGATGTCGAACACAATACGCTTCTCCAATAAGTGTATATATATTGACAAATAGATGATCATGTGGCGAAATAGATCGCAACCGATAAAGCCTCAATGTTTTATAATAATTTTCTAATGCTTCTATATAGGATGCATTATGATAATAACTAAGTCCAAGATGCTTATAAGCCATTGGAATATATTCATCATCTTCTGATGTTTCGTCTAAAAATATTGTATAGCATTTGATTGCTTTATTATATTCGCTTAGGTCATCCATTAGGTCTCCCATTGTCATAAAATCAAATGGATAGCCAAATTCATCTCTTAACTGATCGATCAAATCTATAACTTGATTTTCTACCTCTTCATTTATGACTAGTTTAACATTCCATATGTGAGTATTTGTATCCAATTCAACTGAATGTATTTGAAATACTGTTCCAAAGGTAAATAATATTTCTGACCTATAATTATTAATTATGAAATAAGGATGGATCATTTTCGTACTTGTATCAATATCAATTTGGAATAAAACACATTCCATATCTGCTGACTCTGATTGCTATAAAATATGTTTTGGGTGTGGATGTGGGTGTGGGCGTGTGTATCACGCTAGGAATAAACTGATACTCACACTCACATACCCACATCCACACCCCACACGCACACTTATACCCACACCCACACTCATACCCACACTCATACCCACACGCATACCCACACTCATACCCACACCCACACCCACACCCACACCCACCCACACCCACACCCACACCCCCACACCCCCACACCACCCACACCCACACCCACACCATCCACACCCCACTCACACACCCACACCCACACCCACACCCACACCACCCACACCCACCCACACCCACACCCACACCCACACCCACCCACACCCACGCTCACCCACACCCACACCCACCCACACCCCTACTTAGTAGATGATACCTTATGAAACACGTATGGAATACAACACGAAATTGCTCACTACTCTTCTGGTTTTCTGAAGAAAAGAGTGCATTTTTTACTCTATATTTTCGAGCCGAATATCCCCTATTATAGAACTGGTTGATCTGACTTCGACCATCTAATAATCCAGGAATGGTGTTTTATCTCAATACGTCTTGTATCAAACGATTTTTCACTTGGTGTTGATCATAGCAGATTTTTTCTTACTTCTGAATTCAGTGAAGTAATTTCTATCCTTACCGTATCAAGTTTTTGAAAATTTGATGGATCCAAAGACCTAATATGCTTAGTTAAGAACAACGGTGCACCGATAAGTCGTGTGTAGTTACTGGAAAGATTGTTTTGCAATAGCACAGTTCTAGTTTGATTTATCACCTTACTATTGATGAAAAACATTCATACCTGATTGGTAATGTCAATGCTTTAAGGTTTAAGCCATTCCGTCATCTTTATAACAAAATGTCGTTTCTCATCTTTCTAGTACTTAAAAGCCTTGATCAAAACTTTCTGATAATTTAAATTCATGCTTAATTACTTGTGTTTAGTTTCCTATTAATTTATCGTCATTTGTAATGTGCTACGCAAAAGGCAGTGACAAGATTTGACATCTAAACTAGGCACTTTTTTGCATCGAATTATGACGATCTTTTTTTTTAATAACATGTTATTATAGCCTATGTTTGCACTAATTTTTCTTACTTTTCTGCTGACGCAAGAGTTTTTCTTTTGCTATCAATAGGTTGATGGTATTAGAATCTGTCTGACTAAAAAGAAATCAATATAAGTAGTTATACGGTCAAAAAAACGTTTTATGCAAAACCATGGGTTGCGTAAGTGCGTTATCAATCTTTTTGTAAACAGAAAGGAATATCTGAAAAATAAGTCGACTGTTGGATACCTCGTAAAAAGTTAACGAAGGACCCTGAGCGATTACGAGGAAATTCTCTGCAGTTGTAGCGTAAAATAAACTAAGAGCCCTTTTTGGTAACGCACTCACGCCAAAATTTATCAAGCTTTAAAGTAACCTCCATTTTCTTCCAACAATCATGGATCAGATGAACTTTGTATAAGAAGAAAGCTCTAACTTTGCACATTCAGAATATGTACCACTGCTCTAATTTCAGTTGCATTTTTAACTATTTTCAATCATTTTCTTTATATGTACGAAAAAAGTAAAAAATTTTTGAAAAATTTATCAAGTCTCTGTTGTATATATTTTCTTCATCTGTTGGAAGAAAAGATAAAACAAAATACGTTTCCTAACACAGTAAGGTGTGCCCTATAATACGATGTTATTAGCTTCTAAAAATATTCAGCTTCTACTTTAATCACTCCGGTTGACCGTTAGCCAGACAAGCCCTTAAATAAAACAAAATATAGATAAAGAAGAAAAGTAAAAAGATTGCTCTCGAACAAAAGCAATAAATGATTCATTCGATTCATTCTCAAAAAAAAAATTTACACGCACAACTTTCAACAGTATTTATCAGGTCATAATTATACAAAAATTACAAGTTTAAAATCTCTAATCGAAATGTATTTTTTCCTGTAAACCAACTTTCTCAATTATTATTTTCTAACAGAAAAAAGGTCAAACATTGTTCCTATTTCATAAGTAAAAAGCAAAACAACTAGAATCTTTTATTCAAACTGATATTTTTGTTACTAATAAATTGTCTATATTCATATTGAAGAACAACAGTGTAGTGTCAGACTCAACAAGATATATAAAGAGGTTAATATTAAAACAACATTCACTGAAATACTGATAAAGAATTCGTCTATTTGTGGATTTTACCAAAAGACTCGTTGTTTAACTTTACAAAAAATCTTTTATTAAAAGCCTTTTTATTCGTAGAAATTTCTCATAAAAATTATAAGGACGATATCATTTACTCGAAAGAGGTTTGCAATTTTCTTTAAATATCTTCTATGTCTCATAGATTCACTTATACTTTCAAGCATAACAAAAAACCATGTATACATGTCTAATGAGAAAAAAAAAGTGATTCATTAATTTATTTATTATTACTACTGAGATTTCTTTTATAGACTCAAATAATTAATCTATACATAATTTTATTTATGAAAATTCTGAGATATTTTTCAATGAACTCAAAATAAAACTCTATATCTCACAAATACTCAATAAAAATATCAATTATCTTTAAAAAATCATAGAAAACGAATATTCATCAGAATATGAATTTATTCTTAACGAGAAAAAATTCCAATAAGTTATTCAGCACGTTTTCTTTTTCTTTTTTAGTGTAACGCCTCACTCTACACACCTATAATCGAAATACAGAATACACCAACAACTGTAAGATGGGAGATCTGAATAAAAACAAAATATACAATTTCTCAAGCAACTATAGTTTAATCATTTTCTAATAAAAAATCAACATCGAATTTTTATAAAAACTTCAATATCTACACTGAAGACAAAATGAAATTGTTGTATCTGTCGAATAATTTTTACACAAGAGAAATATAATGAGAAATACATGAAGACATTCATTAAATGCTCTACTGCTATCATTATTGCTTTTACATTACAGTTGTTTGTTCAAAATGTTTATAATGATGAATTTTGTTTTCATCGATAAATCTTGAAAATTTAAAGAGTACAAATATGATATACTCTATCATCAGGAGACTATTTTGAGATGAATTCATAGCTGTTTATATATTCATTACTATATTGATGAATATGACAATATAAGTGAATACACATCATTCATAATGTGTTATGTACAATTTGATACATTCTGGACGAAAATTACGTAAATCCTGAGAGGCACTATATTTAGTGGCGGCGCCAGGGGTGTGCTAAGCTTACCCGAAAGGAAGTTAAGCCCACCCTGATAATTTTGAATTCATCTAAAATAAACTTGATGTTTTTAAAGAAGATGGTGTTACTTTTCGATCTTCTATTCTTACTTATATTACTAAAAATAAAGACTTGATTTATGTTTATTTCTATTGGTTCTATCTTCTTGACTAATGAATAAATTTCTTCCTTTTCTTCTCTCTTCTTTATAGCTTACAAAGTTATTAATAAAAAAAAACTTCTACATATAATTTGGTGAAATGCAACCTGAAAAACGAAAAACGATCAAGTCGTTTTTTCTACCAGATAATAAAAAAACACGTAATGAAGAGCAACAGGAGACAGCTGTTGTTGATCCACCATCTTCATCACAGAATCCTTGTTCTGATTCTCTTGATCAAACTCATTCTGCTTCTTCTTCTTTAACGGAGGAAACAACAGATATAACAGCTGTATCACAAAATTTTGGAAATAAATCTATGCCAGAAGATATTAGTAAATCTTGTAATGATCATCCTAGGCAACCAAAACTCAGCTCGTATCCATCAAACTTCCAAAACCGTTCTTTTCAATCAAGTTGGTTCGTGAATAGAAATTGGTTAGAATATTCTGTGAAAAATGATCGTATTTATTGTTTCAATTGTCGACATTTTCGCTCATATAAAACAAATATTGGTGATGCCTTTACTACTTGTGGTTATAATAATTGGAAACGTGCATTAGAAAGTGGAAGTGGTTTGCATAAACATGAACAATCTCAAGCACATGTTATTACTACTAAAAACCTTGAATCATTTAAATTACGTCAACAATTACAATTAAGTGTTATAAATTCATTAGACAATAGCAGAAGCATATTGGTGCGACGTAATCGTGATCGTTTAATCAAAATTTCTTCAACACTACTTTTATTAGCTAGACAAATGATTGCTTTTCGAGGACATCAAGAAAATGAAAAGTAAATAAGTTTGTTCAGTTAAGCGTCAAATACAGATTACCGTTGAGATTGAGACGAAATGAGTTTTATATTTCATAGTATAAAAGAATGTCTAAGATTTGTGAATTAGAGAAATTTACTTTTTTTTTTTCAATTTTTTTAAATATATGATCTATGGCGTTTTAGGTCTGCAAATCGTGGTAATCTTATCGAGATTTTGCGTTGGGCTTCTTCAACAGATCCAATTGTAAAGTCTATTTTTGAGGATAGTAGTAGCAATGCTACATATCTTAGTCATGATGTTCAAAATGAATTGTTGAATATTATGGCAAACCAGATTCGACGAAAGATCGCTAATATGGTAATAACTGTCCTTATTATTGTGTATTTTTTATTAGAATGCTGATATCTCGGATTTTAGTTAAACAGTCAAATGTATGCGCTTATGGTAGATGAATTAAAAGATGTGAGTGAAAAGCAGCAACTGTCTATTGTTATACGTTTTACACCAGATTGTGGAAACATTCAGATTAAAGATCAGAATGTAGTATCCGAGTTTTTTTTGGGTTTTATACGTTTGTTAGAATTTGATGCTGCTACTCTATCATCAAAAATTGTCGAATTTTTATCTTCCTTAAATATACCATTAGCATCTTGCATTGCATTGTGTTTCGATGGGTAAGTCATGAAGGTTTTAACGACAATAGCTAAAAATCATTTTTTTTTGATACATAACCCTAGAGCGTCGGTGATGAGTGGATGTAATGCAGGAGTACATGTGTTATTAAGAAAAAACCATATGCCTAGAGGTGTATACATACACTGCTCATGCCATCGTCTCGGCTTGGTTGTCAATGACACCTGCAAAGCAGTGCCGTATATGAATGATTATTTTTCTATTGTATCAACACTTTACTCGTTTTTCACCGAATCAGGTGTGACCAATAAGTTCTTTAAAAAAGCTCAAGAAGATTTACAATTAAGTAAGCTTTTCTTTACTATCTTTCAATTTATTATTTTTTTTATTCAACTTGTGTTTGTAGCACAAGCCTCAGTTTTAAAATTATGGGCTATTACTCGCTGGGATTCCAGATGGCAATCTATCGAATCTGTTATTAAAAATTATCCAGCATTAATACTAGCATTACAAGATTTAATTGAAGAAGATTCAGGAACAAGATCGATAAATGCGACTGGTCTTTTAGTCCACTTGAAGAAATCTATCTTTACTATTTCATCATTTATACTTCAAAAACTATTGGGAATTACTACAATTCTTAGTGATCAATTAAAAAGTGCTTCTTTCATTTCCACTACTCAATAATAAAAATATTTTACTTTTCGATTTCTTTCAAGGTCCATCGCTTGATTATGCTCGAAGTGAATATCTTATATCTTCAATAATACAACAAATAGCAGATTTAAGAAATCAACAATCATTTGATTATATTTATTGTCACGCTACAGAATTTTGTACGTTAAATAAGATTGATTTAGTTGAGCAATATAGGCCACGTCGAACAACAACTATTCCGGCTCGATTTGAAGAATGTATAATTCCATCTACACTTGGTCAACGTGAAGTATTATCAACACCAATTGATTTTTGTGAAAAGTTATACTATCCCTTAATCGATTGCATTTTGATTGAGTTGAGAGACCGTTTTTCTGCTAAAACCTTATTATTATTAAAAAGTCTTTCTACGGTTTATCCGGATAGCGAAAATTTTCTAAATATTGATGATGTTAAAATGTTTTGTGATCATATAGATGGTGATTTACAGGCAATTAAAAATGAATTTCTGGTAATTAAACCAATGATTAAAAGTAAATCAGTTACTAATATTATTGAATTTTTGGATGAATTATTGCCGATGGTAGGTACATTTCCGAACACTATTCAAATGATTAAAGCTGCAATAACAATGCCAGTATCACAAGTTACATGTGAAAGAAGTTTTTCCAAGATGAAATTAATAAAGACGTATGCACGAAACACTATGAATGATGATCGCCTCAGCGATTTAACAGTTTTAGCAACAGAACGTTCATTTGAAATAGATTTTGAGCAAGTGGTAGATGCTTTTGCAAACAATCATAAGAACAGTAGAATCATTTTACGTTAATATAAACTTTTTAGCTTTTTTTATAATAAAGATATTGTTGTCAAAGGCTTTCTTTACCAAGGCATTTATCAATTATGCCCGACTATATATGGCTCTGCAGCACATATATTCGGCAAATATAGATTGAATACATATCATTTGTTTCTCGAAAAGTCTATTTACTACATTTCCAATGTTTCCAAAATAGGTAGGCTGAGCCCACCCGGAATGAAAATCCTGGCGCCGCTACTACATATTTGTTTAATTTTCTTTCCATAACGATGACAGTTGGCTTCAAATTGACAAAAACAACTTGTGGTATATATTTACCAGCATGTGTTTCAATGAAGAAGATGTTGAATGAATCATCAACGCTACCAATAGTTTCATTTAACGGCATTTGTCCATCAAGTTGAATTCCATAGTCTAAAAAAAATAATTTACAACATACATTACCTATTTGAACACCAGCTTGACCAACATGAATTGAGATACATTGACGCACGATCTATAAAAAAGAATTTGTTTACAAGTAACAAAAGAAATAAAAGAAAACCTACTGAGATGAGCAAATTATATGAAAATCTGCAATAAAGAAAAAAAAAATTTCATCGAAAATTGTTGAAATTATGCTTTATATTTGTCGCATTGATCGTTATCGAAGCAAACCATGAAATAGGGTTTGCCCGAACATGATCAATGCTTTTATTTTTGCCCTTCTGACTAAGTTCACCGCTATATGATGCGGACTCCGACATTTGAGGTCGGATCCGCTTAAAAGAAGCGGTGAATTTACTTGGTATCCTGATCGAATACCGAGCTCAACTTCTCAAGGAAGTTGTTAATGGTAGTCTTTAGGGCACTGAGCTCGGATTCCACCGAACTTATCCGCTCGCAGATCGAAGTCTCGACCGAAGCAAGCCGGATATCGATATCGACGAGCTTCGCCGCTATCGTCGAGGCGGCATCTTTCACCGCCTCGCTTCTTTTCTCATCAGCCGTTTTTGGATCAAACTAAAAAAGAAAACACAATTATTTATTATATTTAAATTTTCAAAAAAAAAACATTTTGTCCAGGGTCCTTACTTTATCTTTTCCAACTGCCATACTTTTCTTTATTCTTTTTATTCTGCTGTCTCTTTTCTTCTCATGATCTCATTCTTTTTTTTCTCTCTTTATCTCGTGACCTTCCAATCGAAAACACTGGAAGTGTATTCCTTCACTTCTATAGCTACCACTACCGTCTACTGGAGTCATCTATCGGTGAGAAGTCGATATCAAATTAAAAAATTTATTCTAATTCTGAAACGTGAAAATACAATTATATCTCTAAAGTCTTTTGAATATTGATAATAAAAAAAAAAGCTTTTTTTATTTAAAAAAAAATGTTGCACAATTTTGTATCGTATACAATTTTCAACTGAAACTACAAGAAAATGTTAACGGTTTCAGAACTCTAGAGTTGTTTTCTCAGAGGGCAAAAAAAAAGTTAAGAAAACACTTACCGTAATACCACGGGATATTTTTATATTATAAGTGGTGCTTTGATTTTCTTTAGCTTTTATAGATGGTCTGTTCTATCTACTATCTCTCTCTCTTTCGATTTATCTCTCTCTCTATCTTTCTCCGAGTATCGAAATAATTATTTCGTTGGCCTAGACGTTTTATCACGTCATGACCGCTACGATCACTATTCGAACTAAACACAAAGAATATAGATTATTGAAACAAGCAATCATATATTGTACAATAGATTTTTTTTCGTTTCTTTTCCTCTGCTTAACTACGTCTCCAAACTATTCGAATACCTTGATATCGAGGCAAAAAAAATAAGATAAATAGTGAACATAGGGTCAAACAGCGTGTCATTTGTACTTGAATTTATTTGTTTGCCAGTGCAAAATATTTTCCATCTCTTTAAATTATTTTTCCTTTTTTTCGACAAGCTTTTACCAATATTGATACAGCTTGATTTACTTCCTATTACTTTAGAATGCATTGCAATAAGGCATGAGATACGTTAATGATAATATATCTTAATTGCATTCAGTGTGAATCAGAGACATATGCGCATTTCTCTACACACAATTCTATTGAAATAAAGATTATGTTACAATAATTGTATGAAGACATCAACAACGGTCTTACGAATTCAATCAAACAATTCTTACGTAACATATTCCAATGTTCATGATCTGATTCTTTTCCAAACGAGCGTGACTATATAAGAATAGATTCAGTTTTTATTAAATTTGATTTGCATTATATTTTCTTAAGGATATATATATATACTGCATTCTTAGAGTAATGAGTGTGTTATGCCTTTTTTAAAATGCAAAATCTTCTTACATTACTTGAGTACACTGTTGATCACATCTCTTGTTTTTTTAGGTGTCTTTAGACACAAGAAAAATTGTTCATCAAAGAAATACCCAAAACATTTTTTTTTTTCATTTTCATATTCAATTGATTTCTTCTTCGTATCCAATAATTTGTAGATCAATCACGTCAATACAGGCTGCATAAACAATATTTCGATTCATTACTTGCACAAAATGTGATCGATCTTCAATAAGAAAGACCAATCAAGTTTTTTTAATGGCTTTCTCGTATTATTTATTTCCTGCTTGAAGTAACAGATGGGCGATAAATATGAGACCTCTACAGTATTTTTCATTTATTTCAATAGCAATAAAACTTAAAAGAGAAAACTCTGTTTAAAAGATATGCTTTTCAAGTCTCTACAATTTTGTATCTTTCAACGAACAGCATTAATATTCGTTACTGTAAAACCCACAATGAAATGGATATGTTTGAAATGCAAAATTTTCCAAAAATGAATTTATGTCCAACGTTTGTTTTACATATTTTAACTCTTGAATCATTGTTTTTTTACAGTTTCGCACTTAATGCCAACCAATAATCGATACATATATATCGCGAATGAAATATTTTGGAAGTTTCAAAGTCAAATTATTGGTCCTTGAATAATCATTATTGTTCACGCACGAAAGCTTGTTTTAATACTATTATCACTCATATGTGAAATTGCTAGTATGGCTGCGTTTGGATTTGTCAAAACTTTCAATAATTTATAAAGATGATCGATAATGTTTAGTATGTCGATATGCCACTTGTCATGAGTCGATTTTACAAACGAAATAAATGTCTAGATGAGTTGTAAAATATTTCGTGAACAATCATGATCATTCAGAAACTAAGAATTTGACTTTAAAAATTTAAAAATTTTCATTCCTGATATCCATATATCATTTGTCGGTTGATGCTAAGTGAGGAACTGCAAAAAATATTGTTTTAAGATTTGGAGTGTGTAGAATAAACAAAAAAAAGGTTATTCTTTGAAATCTCCTACAAATGTATTCCATTGTGGATTCTAAAGCAACGAGTGCTAATATATATATTTCGTTGAAAGAGACAAGATTATAAAGAATTAAAAGGTACATCTTTAAAAAAACAAGTTTGCTGATTTACATTCTAATATTACCGAAATAGATGAAATAAATTGCGAGATCCATTCTTTATCATCCACTTGTTATAATCCTATGTTAGAATATTAAAAATAAAAAGTAAAAGCATTATGAAATTACTTTAATGAAAAAAAAAACCTATTGGTTACTTTCAATAACACATCAATCTATTTCTCCTTATCATGATTATTAATAATCTACTGAATACTCTTAATAGACGAAATCAGTATTATGAATAGATAATTCAATTGAAAGAAAAAATCCATTTCTATTCAACACATTCAATATGACATCAAAAAAGAATAAAAAGTAGATGTTAATATCAAGTGATTCATTAAAATTGAAGTGCAGAGTTGCCAAATTTAAATTTCAAAAATCCAGGATTTTTGATTGTAAAAGATCAGAAGTTAACTAGGAGATCTTTTTATTCAAATCATGAAATTATTTGACAGTCTTTTCTCGACGAAATGTTGTTAAGGTAATGACGGCAAAGATTTTTTTCTAAGTGATATAAAGAGGGTGAGTGTGCGCTATATTATTAGTCATTTTAAAGACATTCATTAAAATATAGTGATAAGATATAAAATGAATTTAACATGAAAATTGATTTGACTCAAAACAACATGAGTATATTTAAATAATAAATTATTAGTTATGTCGTGCGTGGCTCTTTTTCAACATAACTATATTTTCTTTTATTCCATAAGAGAAAAAGGAATTTTCTATTTCTTAGAAGAATTTATGACGAGTATTTTCCATAAACTTCTGAAGTCTTTTGATTAAATGGAATCAATTTTTCTCTTTTTCTATATTATTCAAAGATTTGTCTCAATTCTTAAGTATAAGATAGAATTGGAAGATTTTATTATAATCTTTCAAAATTATACAATATTGTCTGAACAATAAAATAATTTTCATATTTCTAATTTGTAGGGAAATTTTTATTAACAGTAACAAAACAACTATATGTCTTCTACTTATCTTTGTTTATAAATACAATAAAGAATACCAGATGTACTATGAAAAGACATATGTGAAATATATCAATTATATTTCTTTTTGGTATTGTTATTATCTATAGACATATTTTTGTTTTTTTGTTATTGTGATATGTTGTCGAAGTCTTGATGAAAATTCTATTATTTACATGATGATGACAACTTTTAGTATTTTCATTATTTTTTCTCTGTAACATGATTAATGTTTATCTTGTCTGTAAGTAGATAATTAACATCGAAATATGTTTTGTTTTGTTTAAAAAATAATCATCTATTGAATGAATTATTTGCGAACGGAAAACAAAAATATTTGTGGTTTTTTGACAATGAAAAAGATTCTATAACATAATTAACATTTCTTGGTATTCAGTGTAATTGATATATTAATAATGTTAAAACTATGTACATACTTAGTCTGATTCATCACGTATATGATATACCGTGCTAGCACAACACAGTCTTATATTAGAAATAATATCACGATTTTCTAGATTAGCATAATGGTTTATTTCAAACAGAATGTAAGAAAACGTTTTGACTTCGCTAAAGAGAAATTAAAAATTTCTGACATTTTTCAGAAATAAATAATTATCACGCATTCGAAATTTCACTTTCGGTCAAGTTGGCCCTAGCAGAACACTTACGTGCATGTTTAGAATTTTTGTATTGACGATGGTTGTCATCATCTTCCTTTTGACGTCCTTTTCTTGGACTATGCTTGTATTAAAACGAAAGTCTTAGTATCGTACGCCATTAAGCGTAATATTTTGTTAGATCAGTTTTAAGACACAAGAATTTTTACCTTTGCTAAGAACATACAATTCAACAGAATTTACTGTTTCTCGTTAATTAATCTATATGTCTAAGTTTCAGATTTTCTTAAGAAAGTCTAAAACAAAATAATATTCTTCGTTTACTATGAGAAGAGTGTGGGGTGTGGGTGTGGGTGAGGGTGTGGAATGATAGAAGAATTACACCC